TAACATTGTTGAAGTCTAAAATTTTGCGTACTTTCTTGCGATATACATGCGGCCAGAAGAATCTTGCGAATGCACAGTTGCCGATAGTTACCCAGCACTCAAGCCCCACCAAACGCTGCCTAATTTTTAAACTTTTGTAGCACCTAAAAATTATATTTAAGCATGATTGCGAACCAACTTTTTAACACTTACTGTGACTAATGGAATAAATAATTTGACAAGAATGTATTTTTAAGTCAAAATTTAAATGCCTCTAAACATGTCCAATAACATTTTTATGGTTAATCATTGAGTTTACTATTCAAATGTCATGTAGGCATTCACATATAAACTTTCCTTAACAATTACTCGACGTAATGGTAAATGACGTCAGTGAATGACTTCAAAGTAAACTTAATAACGGTTGTTATGAAAAATGCATTAATGTTGTTAAATGTCAATTAAAGGTCAATATTTTGATCAATTACAAGTTAATAGAGTTAACACGTCAATGTATAATTTTCATAGCAATATAAAAAATATTAATTATACGCAGTAAATAATAATAAAATATTCAAATAATAACCCTTTTAAATAGAACAAAACTTGTTTTGTTGCAGATTAATACAAATAAATTGTTAATAACTTATTTTATACACCAGATCTTTAAAGCAGTTTTACAAAGTAGTTAGGTTAAATTTCACCGGCTGGTTGTCACGCCATACATGTAATATATAGATCCATAAAGAGTAATGTCAAATGGAGGTTCATTATTAAAACGAGCTGAAGTTTACGTCGTGTAGAAGGCCGACGCTTTTTGCAAAGCTTAAAATACACTTGATATATAGTTCTGATACTTTATCCAGTCTCTTGAACTGCAAAGTTCCTAGATATCTAAGCCGAGTTCTAGATAAGGCCGGACACAAGCACAGAAAGTATACATCCTCTCTCTCATTTCAACTTCGTTGCACTTACTACATGTGTCATTATTAATAACCCTAAAATACTCGAATCTGACGCCAGTCTGCAGTCTTTTCGAGACCATGTAAGTAAGAAGTAGGAGGGAAACCACGCTCCGCTGCCTGCATGCCCTTAAGGCATTCCACCACAACCTGATCCGTCTGTAAGCCCTTTCTGAAATTTCACTGTGTATCGTTTTTAACAAATTGCGTATTTCTGAGCTGGTTCGGTAGTCAAGGGGTTGGCCACTTTGGCAATATAACCAGCTCTTTCTTTTCCCGGAACACTCTTGTGGCCTTGAGTCCAATATATATGAGTATGCAGTAACTTTCCGTTAGACACTCCTGGTGAATCTTGGTTGCTCTAAGGACATTCTCTGACATAATGCGATATGAGATTATTGATTTAAAGGCCGTTGGTCATTCCTTCAGTTGTTAACTGTCCCAGCAGCTTTCCTGCCCGCAAAGTCTTCTGCCTGACGATTATTAGAAATATTCCAGCAGCTTAAAAAGAAATCGGTTTAATATCGAATTGTTACTGGTGATAAAAAGTAGATTCATTACGATAACCCTAAGTGCAAAAATTCTATATGAATCTTGGCCAATCAGCTAAATTAATGGCAAAGCCGAATTTCCATGCCACCAAGATTCTCTGTATTTAATAGGATCAGAACTCTTCTTCTTCTTTCCGCCTTCAGCAGTACCTCTGTTGAACAGACGCTGCTGTTAGATTTTAACGAAAGCTTAAACCGAATATGTCGGAGTAGCTTCGCTGAAGCTTCACCTCTTTGTTAACCGCGACCTCAGGCTCCACAGGGGTTGGCTACCATATCTTCCACAAAGGTTACTCACGTTTGCTGGGTGCGCGGCGAGGACACAAGAGTAGGAATTGGGTATAGCCCTACAACTGTATCTGCTTATCCAAAAACATAACTGTAATCCATTACATCCCTGTAAGGTCAGAACTTCTATGAACTTCTAAAACGGATAAAACCATTAATGGAAACGACACCGACAATGACTCATTACACTGAAGTGAGCGATTGCCGAAAAACGTCCGATTAACGACCAGACGAGGCCAAAGTTTTCCTTTTTGTTAAATAAATTGCCTTCTTCCCCGCTTATTTTTGGCGGTGATATTATCAACCGATTCATTCCGCATACTGCGAGGCCTTTTTAAATACCCATTTCAAAATTTCATGATGAATCATTTGCTCCAAGAGGTTCAGTGGGAAAAACTTCAAACTTCTAGTTCATTTAAAAGCTCAATTTGGTCTAGGTTCCACAAAGTTTATTTAACAGTTGGGCACGACTCAACAATGATGGAAATAGGATATACGAAAAGTCCATCAATTTACTCTTTGTGGAGAACATGCGACAAAAAAATATATAAGTTTGTAACGTCATGAACTCAAATACGGAAAGGCTTCGATCGTAGTGTATAACAGTCATGCCTCTATCATTCTTGGGATTGTATATATTATTGTATGTATTTGTAATTTAATGTAAATAAATTAACAAATTTTAGAGCAAACGCCCACTTTATGCTTAAATACTGCTCGAGACAAATTTACCCAAAATAAAGTTAAGTCACTTCGTAGATTTATATTCGCGTGACAATGTCAACGTCGCAATTAACTATTTTTGGAAAACGTTCGGAAACTAACATCACTTTCATTAACATATTTGCTCAAACCTGAAATAGGTTTTATATTCCAAATAACTAAGGTACTCAGTGTAACTTACTGAGCTTTATTGTTGTTATAGACTTTCTTTGCTAGCATGTTGGCCATGACCGATAGACTATCTTTTGCATATGACCCATTATATTTTCAATTTATTTTTGTTTACACCATAATTACATTTAAATTTCGCATCAAGGTTGTGTCGAAATTGCCAAATTATCCGTCATTTATATGCACGATTGATGGTCACCAAGCTCCGAGTTAGCTCTCATCCACTCTCACTATGTTTTACTGTTGTTTTGATTCTCTCTCACTGAAGAGCAAATCCGGTGGCGAATACAAATTCGGTTGACGGTGAACAGGCTACGCGTGACCTTGCTAGGGGCCCACGTAAGTTTTACCGGCACGTGTTCGCACACAGTTGCTTTTAGGTCTTTGTTTTGCAATAACATACGCTCAAAATAGTCCGGTTTCGAAATGGGCATTGCAATTAATCTTATTTGGTTAGTCCAAATGTTGATGATGTTTACAAGATTTGTTTAATTAAATATCTTTTGTTGTTATCTTCATTAAATATGTATTAGTGACTTTTAAATTTCTAAATAAATTTGAGTTAAACTTTGGGGCGATTGACCCCATGGAGGAATAAAATTTGTAGTATTATAACTTGTAATTGTGTGGTGATTAAGCAAAGCCTGCTGACGGTATTGAGAAGGTTGAGTTCAATAGTAGGTTTGTAAGTCCGCCAAAAGTTTCGGATATAGGTTTTTTGGTAAATGGAGAAATGCGATGCTTGTCGGCTCAAGTTTATTGACCGCTGTAGTTAGTCGTGGAACTTTGTACTCCGTTACGCTATATCTTCAGTTCGATCCCTTTTTCCAACTAGCATCAAAATATTTTTCTAAAAGCAGCTACCGCTAGTGTTACCGGACATAGCAAACCCCAAAGCAAATTTATAATATAAAAAGTTCTTCGAAGTCCCCTTAAAGTTTATTGTATTTTTTATTCTTTGGACAAGACGCACAACACTATTGGAAGCAGAAGAAGCTCCGTCAGTAATATGACAAAAGTTTTAATACAAATTAAATTCTTGGTTAAACCTTTTAACGTATTTTAGGAGTCATAGAGATGTGCACTGATTTCATTTTTTCGATAAACTAGTTATCGAATACAACCATACCAGAATCCACCTCTCAATAAAGGTGAGAGAGAGATATCTTATTGAACAACAGTTAAAATATATGTTGTGGGCGTGGTAAGATAAGATTTTGCAGACTCTCTTACCAATTTCAATATCATTTCATTCCAAGCTATTTTATCCAATACCCTAGTGTTTAACTCTCAAATGCGGGCCAGTAAGTAAAGAAATGTTGAGTTGTTCCACCTTATCTTCTTCTATACAGCTTCTACACATGGCGTCTGGTAAGATTCTCAGCATTACAGAATGGTTACCAAAAGGATAACGACCTGTTAAAACTCCACAACTAGGGAGTGGCTAGCTTTACTGAGGGTAAAGCGATCATTAGATCTCTTGCGATCGATCTTGGGCCAAAGGCTTTTGAGACAGCGAATGTAGGGTTGATGGCCCCGCGCTGGCTAAGATCCCGCGAAGCCCAGCAATCTAGTAGTGGAATACAAGACGATAATGGAGCACCTATCCGCTCTCAATCCACTGATAGCGGTTCTAGAGTGGCTTTCCTTGCTAGCTCATTCGCTTTACAATTTCCTGCGATTTCGCTGTAGCCTCCCACCCACACTAGTCTTATAACAAAGACACTCGATGCTATAGATAGCGAGTCTAGATACTCCTTAACCATACCTGAACGCACTTTTGCCTTTGAAGTAACATCAATAAATTTTGAAAATAATCGATAAATATTTGCACATTCCCAACTCTCATCTCGAATAATTGTACAGGAGGCAATCAAAAATGCAGTCTATATGTTGATCATTGTAGAATGCGCTCAGGTTGTAAACAACATTTTCAGAGGCGACAACGACTAAAGTTAATAGCTTGCGAAGCAACGCTCAACTACACCGCAAGCACGGCTGGAATGCAACCGCACGAAGCTATGCATGCATAGAACAATGCACAACGCATGCGTAAGAGTCGACTGCGCAGCAAAATGCCCAATGTGGGCGGGCGACTACGCAGCAGCCGACACCAGTTGCGCTGCAGCTTGGCACATCCAAAAGACGGAACCGCCGCTGCGTTCGCATTCTCGCGTTCGTTCTCGATATCGTTTGCAGCGAAAGGCTAGGCCGATCGTCGCAGCCGCTGCACAGATCGCAGTCGACGGCATAGCGCAGCGATCCGGCGGGGACTACGTTTAACGGCGCGCAAAAAGCCGAAACAATTTCAGTCCCCATTGAGTAGTCGATGTGTGCAATTGTTAATTCGTTCCATCGTCCATTCGAGCAATTATTATTGAACTCGTTATTAGCTAGCCTGATTAACTCGCTGATTCTTACTTGGTTGTTAAATTATCAACAAAACGTGCCAAACAAGTCAGTCGCTTAGACGGAGTGTGTGACATAGTGCGTCCTGTTGGTGCAATAGCAATGCAGAGAGCTTAAGAAAAAAGTCTCAAGAAATAAACTGCAATTCGCAAATCGCAAAGAACCTGTCTGTCAGCCAGCGTTTTCCGCTTACAACGATCATCGATTGCCTGACCGATACGAGAGTTGGTGTTTTACAGTTTTGGCAATTTTCGCTTTTCCTTTCATACGCCATTCGCTGCGTAGTTTTTCCTTTTTATTTCGGAACTACTGTAGACGCCTTGTATGTATATAAGCGAATGTGTGTGTTAACACAAAAACAATTATTGTTTTTTACGAGTCACTTTTTTGCAAGAAGGGCGATGAAAAGTTAATGTAATAAAATTGAGGATAAATCTTTTGAACACAAAACCGATATCAAGAAGAAGCAACAGATATCAAGAACAAATACAGCGACAGGACAGACGGCGTGTGCGCGCAGCAAAGGCAGACAGTTCATAATCGGTAACACAGCCTTCGCCAATGAGCTTTAAATGAAAGTGTTCCTGTCGAATTGTCAGTATAGTCTTGAAGTGATAGCTCAGGTGTCTGGTTGAGCTGTGGCCGAAGCAAAACGCATTCATGTGCATTTAGACGCGACAAAGCGGAAACATTCATATCGATAAAGCGATAGAGAAAAGTGAACTTAGTAAGCATATTGATTGTAATTCAATAATTCAAATCATTCTGTGAATAGCAAAAGTGTTTGACTAGATTGAACTAGACAAAGTGTTTTAATTAGTGTTGGATTAGAGCGTCTTCGCAGGAAAGGTATACAAGCAATATAAAACGATCCTAGGAACCAATCTAAAAGGTAAGTCATATTATTTACACATATATTCTTAGATTGTGTCTTAAGTCGTAATGCTTAGTTCGGATTATTATATGAGAAAACTCTTAAGTTTAATATTTAACTTGTGCCTTCCAGGCATTCTCAAATACTATATCTAGTACAATATAGGACAGATGAGATTTTTTACTGCTTGTTCAATTGATTACTTCAACACAAAATTTTTCGGATTTTTACTTGAATGTTTTGAGGGTATCCGTTAGTTTAGATGTACATATATATAGTATGAGAGATATATGTCATCTACAAGCTATAGTTTTGATAATTTGGGTAGGAGAATTTGATTTGTAATTCCTCTAACACTGAGACTAAAAAAAGAACATTATTTGCATATACTTTTTGTTTCTTTTAGTCTAAAGAATATTTACTTGACTTTGATGATATGATCATAAGTTATGTATGTACATGAAAGATATCAAGCCATTAACTAAGCTATTAAGTGGCGAAATTAATTTCTGTTGAGAAGCTGGTTTTAAAACCTTAGAAATAAACCTTAGAAATAAATGGCAATATAATCCTACCACTATTCGTCGTGATTCTAGGAACATGAGTCTAGTAGTTTTAGGTGGTCTTTGGCTTTCGCATTTCAATTATAAACGAGTTATTCTATATATTGTAGATAATATGGTTAAAAGAATTATGTTTGATCTACAAAAGTGTCACTCCATTCGTTTTAAGAATAAGGCGGTGACAGTTGATAGGTGACTTCACTATATCATCCGATCAAATTTGACCCGGACTGTCAAAAAAATTACAATTTCACGTCTTTTAATACAACTTTTTCTTATCGCCTTAAAAATGCCGGTAATAGTTGATAGGGGCCTTTACTATACCATCCGATCAAATTTGATCCAGACTGACAAAAAATTACATTTTCATGTATTTTATATGTCATTTCATGTTTAAATATAAGTTATTGAGCCCATGTAACCATGGGTACAATTTTCCATACGCTTTAGTGACTTCAGAAAATTTGTGTTTTTTCGGTTTTCACTCATTTTTGGAGCGTTATTTGTTCGATTGTTTGACAGTTTCGACGACATATTCATAAAATAATAAAACCTCATCACCAGTAATGATGCATTTGATGACTATAGAGTCATCAGCATTGTTGCCAAACAGCTCCTTCATATCTTTAGGTTTTCTAATACGAGTCCATCCATGACACGCTTCATACCCAAAACATTAACCAATATACGTTGAGCCGATCTATAAGCGATCTTGAATCGTTTCATTTTTGACCACCAATAGCTGCTTCTTTATATAAGCTAAATTCCACTTTGTCTCTGCTTCTAGCTCAAAAAATGTGAATTGTTCAGGATAAGTCTACACGAAATAAAGTTTGTTAAACCTGGTTGCCTGGGGTATACATATAAAGGCCTGCATTTGAATCCATCAGCCCTGCATTATTTCCGAAAAATTATATTAACAATATCAATAAATCATATTTCAATTCATGGGTATGATGGCATTAACTGGTGTCTGAAGAATAGCACAACATAGAATACCTAATCACTAGTAATTTAAAGAAGAAGTAGAGAGAGCTTAATGAGAAATTTCTTCTTGGAATATATATGAAACGGTTGTTTTTTTAAGATTTATAAGCAAACGGTTTCATATAAATCTTTTCTTGAAATTTTGTTAAAATTTCAAAATCTAGGTTTCTGTACTTTTCGACACAGAGCTTACTGCCTGATTGGCCTCATTAAGCCTTGAACTCCAAAAGAACCTAAAAATGAAGTAATTTTAAAACCTTTTGCTTACGAAATAGTATACTCATTAAAATCTTTATTTTGTTTCCTCAATTAAATGCTTTGATCCCTTTTGGTATATCTGGTTTCATTTTATATTCTTATTTACAAAATCAAAATCTTCCATTCACTATAAATCTTACACGCACTTAATTGACCCTTAGTTCGGCAAAATTTTCCAGTTAAGCAGTTAGCCTTTTCTGTTCTTGTGTAACAACTTTCGAAATGCATCCCAATCAGAACATTCTAGATTATCCTTGAAGCCGCAAAAGGAGTTAATAACAACGCAAAACCACGCAGAAACAATAAAATGTGTAGCTTAATGGCGAAATTCAGACGAAACAACTAAACACACTCTAAAATAAAAGTGAAACTGTAACTAGAGACAAAAGAACTCCGGCCCTATCATTACGACGCGCAATGCCATTGCCATGAGATAAAAAGCGAAATGAGCAGGAAATGCTAAAATTTAAAGTGATTCGAAAGTTGTTTCTCAACTGCAATAAATGTCGGCTGACACACCGGCGTTGAACCGCAATGTTTACAATAAAAAATAAGTAGCAACAACAATTGCATACCTACAGCTTAACTGCAATAAGGTGCACAGCTTGGCGAGTGGCAACGTCAACTAAGATGATGCAAAGATCAGGGTCACATTAACGGTCATCAGCCGGCCAGCATGCGGTCAGCATAAATTTCTTAATGCCGTTAATGAGGTAACGATTCGATACTCCTTTATACGCAAAAAATTTGTAATCATGCGCACACGAAAGGCAGCGGAGCCCTTGACTTTACAAGTTAACAAACTCCAGCCCAGATAATTGGTTGCTGCGGTCGCTGCAATGTCAAGTGCAAGGTTTGACTGCGCGTTTGGAGACTATGGCTCGGTCAATGCTGCTTGCCTGACCGGTTGTGCTGAAGAAATTAAATTTATAACAAATGATGCAGCAAGAAGTCATAAAGTTTAATCAGCCTAAGCGAGTTTGAGAATACTAGACGACAAGCCGTCATTGCATATATTTCTTGTCAAAAAAGTCTTGCGGTATTTTCGCTAGTTGGCGCTGAGAGCGCTTAGTTCTAGTTTTATTCATCACATCGGGTCATGCTATGCCTTTTTCTAAAGCTCGCGCTAACACGTGTTTGATTATTTGTCGTTTCTTGTAAGTCGTTCGTGAGTTATAGCGTCGCAAACATGGAGCAAAATAAAGAGAAAATACGGCATATTTTACAGTACTACTATGATAAAGGCAAAAATGCATCTCAAGCCGCCAATAAAATTTGTGCAGTTTATGAACCCGATACAGTTTCCATTTCCACAGCACATCGATGGTTTCAACGTTTTCGTGCTGGTGTAGAGGTGGTCGAAGATGCGCCACGCTCCGGAAGGCCTGTCGTTGAAAATTGCGATAAAATCGCTGAATTGGTCGAAAGAGACCGGCATAGTAGCAGCCGTAGCAGCGGTCAAGAGCTGGGCATGAGTCATCAAAAAAAAAAATGTATGAACAATTGAAAATTCAATAAAAATACCGCAAAAATACCGCAAGACTTTTTTGTCAACCTAATATTATAGAATGCTTTTCTTTGGAGCTTATATCACTTCTCTTGAAGGAGGTTCTGTGGTATAAGCGTTCGAGGATTCTCAAAAAAATAAAAATTTTGCCTGGAAAGCAGGATTTTGCTTGCTTTTATTTTAGCGAGGCGAATTCATGGCATTAACGGCCTCTTAATGCTTCAAGCAAATGTAAATTTTAAGAACTTCTTAACTTCCTATTCACACCACGGGGAACCACCAAACAGATATGCGTTTTATATCGCCTTAAAGCAAATAAAGGGTTTTTACAATTTGTATGTTTCTACACATGTTTATTCTTTTATTACCCGACCTACCATATTACGCTCTCAAATGCCATAATCTCAAATACATATATTTTCATAAATAAACAACCATCAGTTTTTATGTTATTCATTTCTGATGTATGATGTCTGGCCAAAATTTGAAGCACCATCATCGAAATTCATGTCAACAGTTTTTTTTTTTGCGGCAGCAACAATTTGCATACTCATTTTTTATGATAGACACACGCTTGGAATAAGCTGTTGGGTTTTTAGGTATAAATAATAAGTAGAAAATAAAAGTGCCGCCGACAAAATATTCGAAATATATAATGTGCCAAGTCATGATCAAATTTTGGAAAAAAAATCGAATAAATATATAGATTTATGTGGAAGAGTAACAAGATGGGCAACACACTGGGTTTTTTGTTTTGTGACGATTGTAAATAGGATATAGCTGAGAACAAGTTTTACAATCATTTAATTAGAATAAATATAAACTATTACTTTACTAACGGCTATCATTAATAAAACTATATAATAATAAATAAATTTGGTATTTGATCGCACAAGTTTCCGGTTCGACTTCTGGTCAGCGTGTTCGAAGATTAATTTATAATTGCAAACTATTCAGCAGCTGTTAGGGTTATCTAATCTATGCCAATTCAATCGAAAAATTATTTTCTATAATCTCTCTACATATGTAGAGAGTACTTCTACCATATTCCGATTTTCGCTATAACTAATCTAACCTGTCACCTGCTACCGCATTCAATCAGCTCAATTAATACGTAGATTGACTCCTTGTCTTTGACGATAAAACAGACGCAATTATCGAGAAAGAGAGTATTTGAAAGCTATCTAAAAAGAGTTCAGATTTGTTATTTATTATTTTCTCAACCAGAACTGCAGTATAATAAATATAGAAAACATGAAAATCAGGCTTAGAAGAAGTAAGAACTTGTCTATGCATACTATACTCGACAAAATTGTATTCCGATTTTAAAGAAGTGCTTATATTTAGTATAATTAGGAATCTGTCTTACAAATGTCGGGGATGTTTCGACATAAGATTCTATTCCATTGAATGAAGATAATCAGTGTTTTAGTTTCAACCTTATAAATTAAATATTAATATATTTCGTGGTGTAGATTTATACTAAAATTATTCCTTTTTATTTCTTCCGTTTGCTGAATGTTGAGCGAAGTTGGGCGGTTGATATTTCTATGCATTACCCCTCTATTACTTTATGTAGTTTGTTTGAGTATTTCATTATAATATTTAAAAAAATAAAAACGTCCAGAAATTATCACCAAAGTACCTAGCCTATTGGCTATTTGGATTTTGAAGATTCTGTAAGAATTTCTTTTTTCGTGACT